CTTCAAACATTACAACATTCAAACCTTCATACAATCAATAAACCTCAAACATTCCAAGCTTCAAACCTTAAAACAATTCTACGCAATGGCCTCTTCACCACAATTTGTCGTCAAAGCACATTTCAACGGTGAGACATACATTTGTCCCACCGTTGGGTTTTTGTTTAGAGACACAGACAACATCCGATTTCTCTTAAACGGGAAAGCCAATTTCTCGTACTTCAAAAAAAGATTGGAGGCCAAACTTGAACGAGGCCCGGTGTCCCAGATATTTTATCAGAATCCAGTTTTCTTTGGAAACAACCAAGTAATTTTTTATAAGGTTGAAGTTCAAGATGACGAGGATCTCCAGAATATGATTTCCAGCCATGTCTATTTCGGATACGACTCTATTGAGTTGTACGTTTTGCTGCGAGAGCCTCAGCCTCAGCCTCAGGTGACACAGGAGGTTGATCCTTTGGAGAATGAACAAGCTGAGGTAGATGCAGTTGATGATGAAGAAGAAGATAACGAGTTAGAGTTTGATGAAATGGTGAATGATGATTCCGACGATGATGGCATCCCAAGTATTCCTGCAAACAAAATCTACACACCACATCCGCATATGACAAACTTCAACATGGGCAGAGATGAACCTTCTACTGACTTATTTCTCAATCCGTATATGCAGTCGGATGAAAATTTAAAAGAGAAGGACAAGTTTCGTAACAGAGAGGAATGCATCAGGGCCATTAAAAAATTTCACATGCTCAACTCGGTTGATTTTAAGGTGGATCGTGTCAACCCGGAAAGGTACAAGATCAAGTGTGTCCACCCTGACTGTATGTTCAAGCTGACCGCTTCATACAGATTAAAGGGTGATTGCTGGGTCATAGGTTCCATGACTACCCACACTTGTGTAAGTTCCACTCAATCACAGAACCACCGAAAACTCAACTATGATCTAATCTGTCAAGAAATCCTACCCCTGGTCAGCAACGACCCATCTTTGAAGGTGAAAACAATCATCTCCCACATCACCACGGTTTTTAACTACACTCCGTCTTACCGTAAGGCGTGGTTAGCAAAGACTAAGGCGATTGAAAGGGTGTACAGAAACTGGGAGGAGTCATACTGAGAACTTCCCCGCTACCTGAATGCACTCAAGACGTATTCTCCAGGTAGTGTTTACGTTCTGGAAACATTGCCAGCGTACGCCCAAGATGGTAGTCTAATGAATGGCAACGGAATATTCAGTCGCGTGTTTTGGGCATTTCAACCATGCATCACAGGGTTTGCATCATGTAAACCAATTATACAAATTGATGGGACTTGGTTGTATGGGAAGTACAAAGGCACGCTATTGATGGCAGTTGCACAAGATGGCAACAACAACATTTTCCCCCATTGCCTTTGCCCTTGTCGAGGGGGAGACCGGTGGTGCTTGGAGCTTTTTCCTGAAAAATCTGCGGACACACGTGGCTCCTCAACCAGATCTCTGTTTGATCTCGGACAGACATGCCTCCATTGAAAGTGCCTACAATAATCCAGCAAATGGTTGGCATGACCCTCCTTCTACGCATGTCTATTGCGTTAGGCATATCGTCTATAATTTCTCGAGGGAGGCCAAGGACAAAACATTGAGGAAAGCGGTTATGAATGCGGGATATGCATTGACACAACCCACATTCAAATATTACCGCAACGAGATCCATTTGTCTAATCCGGAAGCCGGTAGGTGGATCGACAATATTCCGGTGGAAAAATGGACTAGGTCATACGACAATGGCCAAAGATGGGGGCATATGACAACGAATCTTATTGAATCAATGAATGGGGTATTCAAGGGCATACGAAACCTCCAAATCACTGCCTTGGTAAAATCTACGTATTTTAGGATGACTGCGTTATTTGCAAAAAGAGGTGAAATGTGGAATGCGGTGTTGCAATCTGGACAACTATGGAGTGAAAGCTGCATGAAATACATTAAGGCTGAAAGTGCTAAAGCCAACACTCACATGGTTATACGGTTTGACCGACACAGCCACAACTTCATTGTGAAAGAGACAATCGACTACAATGAAGGCCTGCCAAGACAAGAATACAGGGTCATTTTACCTTCTCAATGGTGCGATTGTGGCAAGTTTCAAGCATTTCGTATGCCTTGCTCTCATGTCATTTCCGCTTGTGCTCATACCCATCAAGACGCGCTTCAACTTCTGTCAAACGTTTACAAATCTGAAACGTTGCTCAATGTTTACAACAACAAATTTCCTTTGGTAGCAAAACCAGATTATTGGCCTGAATACGACGGCGAAATAGTGTGGCACAACGACCAAATGCGAAGGAACAAGAAGGGTCGTCCCAAAAGTAAGCGCATCACAACAGAAATGGACGATCTTGACAGGTTGGAAAGAAAGTGTGGTTTATGCCGTCAGGTCGGACACAATCGCAAAAACTGTCTGAATCGGGCGTCTGACTCGACCACATAAATATTGTAATACATAAAATCTTTTCATAATTATGTTGTAAACATTTGGGTTTTCCGTTAACAGATTTTGCTACAATTAATAAAACGCGTACAACAATAATTAACGATATTCCATCTAGGAAATTACAACTGTTAACACAATTTCATCTGACCCATGCATCATCAACATTACATCACTGTCTGTTTTGACTTCCTCCAACCACACATTAGGTCTTCCTGTCGCATGTGAGGTTGTTGTTCGTTTTCGCTGGATCCTTCGAATTTTTTCCCCCTCCGCAATGTCTCCATCTAGCCACCGCATCAACTTCCGCTTCAGACGCTCCATGGAGTGAATGTGCCAGAATTTCATTTTCATCGCAGGTTTCGTAGCGGAGAAGATAACGTAACCATCTCTGCTAAAAATCATAGGCGACGTCATGACGCAAATAACAGAGTACAAAATAAAAATACAGTACGAGAAAGTGTGAGAAATTTCAGAGAAACAGACGAATTATTTATAAAACAGCATTTTGCCCTAGTTTTGCCCTAGGAACCAAGTGAGATGGCGCCTCCTCTCACTTTTAAGGAGCATGCGCCATCTCACTTGGCTAAAAGCCAAGGGAGGCGCCAAGTGAGATGACGCCTAGGGCAAAACCCTAGGTGGAGGCGCCAAGTGAGATGGCTCCTCCTTTGGGGAGTCATCTGAAACATGGTTATTTGCGTAATTTTTTCTGAAACCCGGTTATTTGCGAAATATTATTTTAATACATGGTTATTAATAAAAAAAATTCTATGATGTTATACTATTTATATGGTTAATAATACAAATAATCATTTGTATTAAATTTATTTAAGTTTTTCTTTTTAAAATTTTAGTAATATATTAACTATAATTAAAACTACTATTAGAATATAATAAATTAATTTAAAAAAATTTCAATTTATCAAAAAATGGTAGTTTTTTTTTATGTTAAAATATTATCATTTATACTAAAAAATATTATAAATATTTGTGTATGATAAAAGAATATGAGACAATTATGATGGAAAAATACATAAATTTGTTATGAAAAAGATAAATTTATCATTCTTTTTACATCTCTACAATTATGTATTATCATTTTATTTAATTAGTACACATAACATAAAATTTTATCACCGCATCTCTTTATAAAAACATAGAAAATAATATTCATTAATTATAATTATTATAATAATATATATTAGACGTAAAAACTTTTAAGTATTTGAGAGAGCTGTCATACATTTTAAATTTAAAAAAATGGACTAATATCTAAAATAAGTATAATAAATTTTTAGATTGACATGTAGATGTGAAACGTATCTATGAGATATCAGCTATTGACTGATTATTTTAATATAATCAATATTTAAAAATTGGTGCATATTATTAGCATATAACTATGTCAATGTTAATCAATTGAAGGATGAATTTAAAGTTTACAAATGATGATTTGATAGTAATATAAATCCAGACGATTATTACTAATATGTTTAATGAGAAGATGTAAAAACAATTTCAATTAGTTATCATTTATAGAAAAAAAATATTTAATACAATTTACATTTAATTTTATATTGAAAAAGATATATTTTGAGAAAAAAAATACTTAAATTAAATTAAATTAATATTTTTTACTCATAAATTATAACAAGAATTTTTATTTTATTTTTTATAAACCGTTATGGAGGAAGTCCTTTTAGTCAAAAACCAATTTTGTCCTCAACAAAGTTAACAAAGACACCTCGATACTTTAAAAAAAAATAGCATTTGTTTCTTGTACAGTTTAAATTTCTTTTACATTCTATTTGGTACCGTAGAAATAAAAATAAAAAAAGGAGAGAGAGATTGAATTTCTCTTGCTTAGTTTAGATAAAAAATAGAAGAAAGGCTAAAATTTGTCAGACCAACATTTACTTCTTTTCTCTTCAGAAGTGTAAAGAAATGGAGTATATACATAGTATAAAAAAAATTGCCATACTAGTGACAACATTAACTACCGTAGGTATAGGCATTATATACCTACAGATAATTTATTTCTTGTGTAGGTATAGATAGTTTATAAGACTTAGATTAATCTATATACATGTCAAGTGAAATAAGAATTCACTAATTATTTTTTAATAATAATTTAAAAAATATTATTTTTTTGTATAAAATAATTTTTATATAATAAAATATAAAATGTTCAACACGTTTGTTTTTCTTCTTCTTCAGCCTAAACAATCTCTCTCTTCTCCCTCTCTCCCTCTCTCCAAAACCCTAGCCGTCGCCCTTTCTCCGATCCTAACTTCGGCCACCATCGTACCTCCATCTTCTCCTTTTCCGGCCACCACGACCTCAAGGGGTTTCAAGAACGAAGACGTTTAGCTTAACTCGTGCGCGTTGGCAGGAAAACTATATCGTTCTATCAACACTCAGTAGCCAGTGAGAAAATTAGGGTTTTGAGAAAGTACGATCACAATCAATTTTATTACATCAGAAGTTTATCAGAGAGTCATTTGCAGAATCAATTTTATTACGGTTCCTATGATCGAGTGCAAGCTTGTATGGCGGAACTCGGCGTTCCACTCACTAAAGAAACCGTGTTTCACCAGGTGAGTTTGTTTTTTTCTTCAACTCGTTCTGTTTTTATAAATATTTATTGTTTGCAATTTCAATTAGTTTGTATTTGTTTGTTGTTGCTGTCAATTTCTTATCATGAATCGTGGTTAATTTATCACTGTGTGTTTATTGTGTGGCCCGTTCATATTAGGTTTGTTCGGTGGATGTGGAACAGCTTTCTGAATTGCTCTGTTTTTATCCTTTTTTAGTTGTTGTAGTTATGTCGAAGTCGATGATATAAGGTCAATGAGACTTCAATCATAGAGAATGCGATTTCAATTGTAGATGCATTGCGGTTTTGATGACATCAAAAACTCTTGTGAGTTATGTCGTGGCTCAAATTAAAGTTGTGTAAGGTCGGAGACACTTCAATCACAGACAATGCAACTTCTATTGTAGTTGCATTGCAGTTTCGATGAGACTTCAATCGCTGACAATGCGCGACTTCAATTGTAGTTGTGGAAATGTTGGGTCATACTGATTGACTATCAAAACTGAGATAACAAATGTATTTTTAATTGCACTTATATATTTTTGAAGTTGTTAAATCCAATAAATTTTAATGGTCAAATGAGTTTTACAAGTTCATACACATACAACCTATGATCACTTACAGTCTGTGTTAGAGGCCTATATTATTGATTGCTCCACTCTTATTTTTGGATGGATTCAACTGTCCAACCTATCTACTGATGCTGTAATTTTAGACTTGGAATTTTGTTTGTAATATAAAAAAATTCAATGGTTCATACATTATTTTAAGATTTGAGTAGACCAATGCAGGAAGAATGTAAATTTGAAGAAAATGTTGCCAAATGTGATTTTGTTATTATCAATTTACCTTCAAATGTGATTTTATGTTTTGATTAAATTAGCACTGTGAGTTGTTTGGGATAGTTAAGAACAGGGGAGCTAGCAGTATCATTAAAAATCAGTAGTATGTGGTTGTGCACTGTGAGTAGCAGCAGGTTTATTGATGTAGTACATGCTTTTGAAGCCATCTGCCATGCATAAGATAGAGGTTACACAGATTTTTCCAAGTGTCACTACATTTACTCATGTTGATTTGTAGTTTAATGAATGATGCACCCTTGTGAAACTCTGCATTTATATTTTTAATACTTTGAACATATTCAGATTAGGAGCCTGATAACACAATATAGAAATCTGAAGACTTGTACAACTGGTTAACAATAAGAGTCTATGGATGTGGTTGTGAGTCAAGTTTTAGTGGACTAACTCCAAATGTTGGGATGAAGTCTTTGCCTTTTTCTCATAGCCGGTAACTGAACTTACTTAAATGTTATATATATTTTCTCTTGGTTTAAAATGAATGACATTTTAAGTTATAAAAATTGAAAAAGATCAATTTTGTTGAAATCAAAATTTTCTTATCTCTCATTTTGGATTGATTGTTATTGTTAAATTGGATTTTGCCATGTTTTGGTATGGGGACAGATTTGGAGTTAAAATTGGCATCACTTCAACAAATATCTTGTAGATTTTTGTAATAATAAACAAATTGGTATGGCTTTAGTTTTTTATGCAAAATTCTCATTGCAGTTTTTTAACACTAATATTCCTATTTATGTTACTACTCTTATGTAGAGGTGGATATGACACCCTGGAAGAACTATTGGAAGTGATCACTTGGGCTCAAATAGGAATCCATGATAAACCAGTAAGTATATAATAATAAAAGTGCAATTCAATTGGATTTGTAGATTAAAAAAGTATACTAAATCAACTTCTATAATGATAAAGAAAAGGCAAAATGAAGATCTTAATCAATAGTCATAAATGAATGATTCTTAATGGAAAAATGGATTGATTGAATTGCAGGTGGGTTTGTTGAACTTAGATGGTTACTATAACTCTTTGCTGTCATTCATGGACAATGCTATAGATGATGGTTTCATAACACCCGCTGCTCGTCATATTATTGTGTCTGCCCAACATGCACAAGACCTCATCTGCAAGCTTGAGGTACACATCATATAATACACCACAATTTCCATCTCATTTACTCTGGGTAAAAAGTTAATATTCATGTAAACTAGCCATTAACCCATTTGTCTTCATAATTTATCTTGAAATTTTTGTTTCCTACAGTGAGTCCTTTGTTGTTCTTTGTAGTATGGTAAATTAAAAAATGTGGATGATGACCATTCTAAGCTATCTATGACCATTTAATAGTCCCAAGTTAAAACTGAATGCTGGTTCTGTTTTTCGTTCTTAGCTGCAAAAGACGACATAGTTCATATGGGTGGCTTCAATGCATTTTCATGCATGTTAATAGTTGTTGTAACAGTTCCATCGTGTGCAGGTAATTTTGGATGAAGGTTTATTGGTAGCCACATGATTACGTTGTTGTTATGTTGTGTGTTGAAGTTGTGAATTCGTGTTGGTTTGATATTTTGATTGATATTCTTTTGTGGCCTCTTTGCATTGAATGCAGCACTTGGAAACATGGGATATCACTTTCAACACTTTACAGGAGAAGCATGCTTTGGTTGGTACAATTTCATCACCCTTCAGCTCACATGATCTTATGTTGTTTATGATTTATCTATGCCTGTTCTGCACGTTGATAGTTACACGTGATTTTTTGCTATGTCCTACTTAAGTAGACAAATTGATAATCTCTTAGACTTAATTTGATTGATAAATTAACCTACACAATAGATTAGAGTTAGATTTTGTGTTTAGATAGAATGGAATCAGCTGCAGATACTGAATTTCGTGTAATAAGTCCACAACTTTGCATTAATATCCCTAGGGGCATTATGATTAAGTTAGGATATGGGGCCTCAAGAAAGGAGGACACATACATGTGCACACTTTTAAGAATCTCTATTTTTTTAATAAAATAATTGGCTGTCCTATTATTTTTCTCATCTTAGAAGGGTTATTGTTTTCTGTTAAGAGTTCATGTCCATTATTATTTTTATTATTAAAATTCAAGTTTCTTTCTAAGTGTTAATATTTTATGTATGTCGTCGACTTGTTCTATTCACCTTTTGATCACAACAATGGTATTTGTTGCTGAATAGGAATTTAAGTCTAATTCACAGGCATGCCTGTTTAGGCAAGTTCCAAGTTCCAACCAAGAAAATGGACTTAATGTATGACATAATGGGATTTTATTTCTTCTGGTTTTCATCCCTCTCGCTAAACTGCAATCCTTTTTCATGTGCAGAATGTTCATTGATACTTGCAGAAGGCTGAAAATCATGAAGGGTTCTGATGACATTGGCTTAGGTATGTATGCTCCATGATGTTTGTATATCTACTTTCAAGCAATAATTATTTCTGGGAGTTAGTGAGTAGTTGATTAAATTAAGCTGTAATACATATTTCCACGTGCTAGTGCATTTGTGAACAAGCCACCAAATTTTAACAAGCGCGTTTCTAAAGTTGAGATAACCATCTTAAGAACTAAAAACCCACAACAGATTATGATCCTGATACGTTACAATGAAATCACTATATGTAGTGTGTATCCGGATAAACTTTACGCCCAAACAACTCTATTTTATGGTGTTCTTCGAACATTACTTAGCAAATTTTTATTTCTTTTTGCTAGGCTCGAAGAAATCTGAATGATCCAGAAAATGCAATTATTGGTGCTTTTGCAGGTAAGTAAATGACAGTATATCTAAGTTTCAGCACTAGACATCATGCATGAGCTTATGCTGTAACTGTGCTTCAAGCTGAAACACCTTATGAATTAAGATATATGAGTTGCTTCAAGATTACTTGTAAAGGAAGGTTCCTTGGAGATTACTCTTTCTGACAGTATTAATTTTTTTATCTTGCAGAAGTTACTATAGATGTACTCATATAAGAAAACTTGATTTCATTATTGTAGTTGCTGCACAGCAAATGCCTGGTTTTGTGCTTTTGCAGACACTAGGGACATCGATGAGGAAAGAAGAAACCAAGTTATATCTTTTTATCTCCTTGCAGCAATGTGTATCTTTGGTGCTTTCACTTATTATCTACAGTCTTGATGCATTTCCAAATGAAATTGCTTAGTCTAGATTGTAAAAATCTAGAAAATAAGAACATGAAAGTTGGATCGTAAAATTTGAAGTATATATATTTTTTCTTGTAAGTAGTTCTAATTTACATAATATGAAATGAAAAGTAGTGTTACAAAGTAAATATTTTCTTTTTAGATTCTGGTCTTTTTAGATTCTATATAATGATCCGATAGAGGACTATGGGTATCACGAAATATTCTCTTTTTTGCTGAGTTAGTAATCAAAATGTTTTTTTTTGTTGATGAAAATTTTACTGATAATAGATTTTTACTTTTGTGATTAAAATCTTCGTATATTCTTAACTTAAGGATGACAGTATGATTTTTTTTATTGTTTATGATGTTAATAGAAAAATTTTAAAATAAAATTTCAATAAAATCATATTTTTAATGATCCGAACTATAAGGTTAATAAAAATTTTCATCTAGTACAAGTATATGGAAAAATATTTAAAATTTATAACATTAAAAACATATAAAATCAATAAAATATTTAACACCTAATTGAGATTATTCAACTATATTTATAAAGAGTATAAAATAAATAATCTAATGCATTGCAATTGGTAAAAAAACTCATTAACTTTTTTTTCAAATGACCGTAACAATATAGAAGAATGTTGTAGAGATAACTAAAACAAATATGTAATCCTAATTATTATTCTTGTATGCGCAAGACTCTCACTCTCTTTTGGAAATAATTTATATTTTAAAAATATCTTGTTGACTAAGTCGGTTAGAGGGTGTTTTAGTATTTTATTATACTTTAATATTATGTATAAATAGCCTAGTAATAAGTAGGTTAATGTATTAATTACTCTTTATTTTGTAGTCGTCATTTAATGTATTCCTTTTATGTTTCATCTCTCATTTGTGCTCAACAATTGATATCTAGAATTCCTGTTCGAAATTTACGGGGAAACACGAGTGAACAGTGAGGTGTTGTGTGATTGAGAATCACATTTTTTCTGATTCTGTGAGATTTGAGAAACACTGTATGTTACTGAATTTTTGAGTGAACTGCACAAGATTGAAGATGAACGGAAACGGCGGTATCAGTTTCAAGTATCCAGTGTTTGATGGTAAAAACTGGAATTGTTGGAAGATCCAGATGTGTGTGTTGTCCGTTTCTCAAGATGTGCTAGTTCCTATCACCGATGACTATGCTTCATTAGCAGCAGACGCGACAGAGGTACAAAAGACAACACAAAAGGCGATAAAAAAGAAAGATCAGAAAGTATTGTTCTACATCCATCAGTGTGTGGATGCAAATGTGTTTGAAAAAATAACTGATTCGACGAAGGCGAAGGCTGCGTGGGACACACTGAGTAGGTGTTACGGTGGTGACACATCATTGAAGAAGGTGAAACTTCAGTCTCTCAGGAAGTAGTATGAGAATCTCAACATGAAGAATAATGAGAAGGTTTCTAAGAACACCTCTAGAGTGATTCTGATCACTAATGAGATGATGGCTTGTGGAGAAACTCTTTCTGAACAAGTAATTATTGAGAAGATATTGAGGTCTCTTACTATTTAATTTGATTACATTGTTGTAGCAATTGAACATTCTAAAGATCTGGATACCATGCGAGTAGAAGAGCTGCAAAGCAGTCTAGAGGTGTAAGAGTTGTGTCTGACTGAAAGAACTTCTGAGAGAAACGTTGAGCAGGCTCTAAAAGCTTTTTTTGTCAAGAAAGACCAAAAACAGAGAAAACATGGTAGTTCTCAGAAGTCAGAAGTTTTATATTCCATTGAGAAGAAACATCAAAAGAGAAAGGAGAAGTATGACAAAAGAATGGTTCAATGTTACTGTTGTAATAAGTTTGACCACTTTGTTAAAGATTGTTGGTCAAGCAAAGAAGAAGCAAAAATAGCTAGAGGAGATTCTGGTGATGAACCTGTGCTATTGATGATGACTTATGAATCCGAAGAGGAACCTGTGAGATTTTTATTTTCTGATTCTTAAGGGGAAGAAGATGACTCTGAATATTCTGACTCTGAAGGAGTGTTTGAATATAAGTCAGAATCAGAAGATGACGCTGAAGATTCTAAAGATGAGTTAGAATCCGAAGTTTCTGAAGATGACTCAGAGTTAGAAGATGACTTTGAAGCTGAAGACAAGTTAGAACCCGAAGGTGATTCTGAGTCTGAAGAAGAATCAGAAGATGAGTCAGAATCTGAAGGAGATTCTGCTTCTGAAGATGAGTCACAACTTGAAAGTTCTGAAAAAGAGCTAGAGTAAGAAGATAAAGAATCTTCTAGAGACTCTAAAGATGAGTCAGATGGTGAATCTGATTCTGATCCAGATTTTGAATCTGGTGGTGACATGCTTCTAGAAGAGAAAACTCTGAAGACGTAGGTTCTGGAGGAAAATCTTCTGAAGAAGATCATGTTTCTCGTGGAAATTATGTCTCTGAAGCCGTGCCTTCTGAAGGAGGAGCTTTTAAAGGTAATCCAGCATTTTACGGTGATCATGACTCTGAAAGTGGAACTTCTGAAGGCAGAGCTTCTGAAGGTGATCCAACTTTTGAAGATGGTATTTCTGAAGGTAGTGGTTCTGAACGAGGTCTAGAAGCTAACAAATGTGGAGTTTCTGGTGGTAGTCAAACTTCTGAAGAAAGTCTAGAAGGAGATATTGTTCCAGAATCAGAAGGAGATTCTGAAAAAGTTCAGAGGCCACAATGAGTCAGAAATATAACAAAGAGATTTGCATAGTTTGACAAGCTGCAAGATAGTGAAGGGACTCTGAGATATGAAGTGTTATTCCCTTCTAGTGTTAGATCAGATGCAGAGCTGATATGCTATTTAGACTCTGATTTGTATGAAGACAAAGTTTACAAAAGAAATACTTCTGGATATTTTTGTTTATATATGAAAAGTCCTATTTCTTAGTGCTCCAAGAAGCAACCAATGGTTGCGTTGTCAACCTGTGAAGCTCTCAAGAAGAAAGTGTGGCTGAAGGCCATGAAAGAAGAGCTTGATGCTATTGAAAGAAACAAAACTTGAGAGTTAATTAAGTTTCTGAAGGAGAAGAAAAACATCGGCGTCAGATGAATTTTCCAGGAGAAATCTGCACTTCTAAATGAAGTATTAGAAGTTACACATTGTAGCATCCATAAGCAGTTGACGGATGTTCTAACAAAGACTATCAAGACTGATCAATTTCTTTGTATGAGAGATGAAATTGGTGTGTCAGTTTTGTGTAAGTATAAATTAAAGGATGATATTGAAAATAATTTATATTTTAGAAATATTTTATTGACTAAATCTATTAGAAAATATTTTAATATTTTATTATACCATATATATATAAATAATCTAATAGTAAATATATAAATGTATTCATTATTCCTAACCATTATTTAATATTTTTTTATCTTTCATGTGTACGAACACCCTTCTAATTTTGACCCTATTTTATGATGACATTTAAGAATGTTTGTTATTGTGTGGTAATATGGTTGAGAACGAAGCTCTACCACCAGATCTATCCCTGAAATAAATGCACACCTGAGTGATTGATTAAGCCATTTATTGATAAGCCGTGTTTCATAAAGTACGCGGGGTCTAATGTTTTTTTTTTTTAAGGGAAAAGGTTTAATTCATTTTTAAGGAAAAATGTTTAATTTATTTCATCAATAAATATAATGTGGAGTTAAAACTTTGTCAAACTATAATTTTTTTGTTTGTCAAAGTAGTATAAGTGTTTTTAAAACTTCGTCAAATTATAAAGGAAAAAAAATGTAATGAAAATATAAAATACTTTTATGTTATCAATTAATATGTATTCAATTAAATTTTCAAACTCAACTATAAAGATATTGAGTCATCGATGAGAAATGCTAACATAGACACAAACTTAAATATTTATATTTAGGATAATTAAATAAATTAAAAAGCAAAAACTTAAAATAATATAAAATAATGTGATGAGACCATTTTTCTTTTTCTTTTTGTTAGATTTTGTGTTTGTGCTTAAACTCTAAATATTTGGGTTTGTGCCCAACTAAATCTTTCTCGACATTGATTTATTGATTGAACTATTACGTTAGTAATCAAATTGTATAACTAAATTAGATTAAAATTGATAATTCAGTTGAATAAATCTATTTTTATAACATAATTATTTAATTATTAATCAATCAAATCAAACAACTTTATCTCTAAAAAAAATCAAACTTACAAAATTTCTCAAATTCATTTTTTTAATTTAAATTTTATATAGAATAAAATAATATAAAATATAAATCCAATTAAATTTTAAACAAAATCTAATTACAACATAAACGGAATAACAAAATAAATAAATTTAATTTCAATAAGAAAATGTTGTTTCCAATAAATTTTGAATAAATCTATAGTTTAATTTAATATTTTTAAGAAAAGTTATTAAAATGACGTTGGTTTTTTAAGATATGTGAAATGTCGTTAAACTCAAAATTAATCGTTAAATTCATATTATTTAGACTAAAATAATAATATTATATGTTTTGTAAAGTTAAATGTATCGAAAAAAACACTCCCGGAATAGATTACGCGATGCCTCCTTCTCTCTCCGTTTGACCTAACCCATTTCCTCTTGCCATGGACGCTTCCCATCCGCTTGTTTTATTTCCAGAATGCCATCCAGAAGTTAAAATTCCAGCTAACAATGATGTAACCTCTTCGTCCCATCCAGTTAATGTCACAAAAGCCAAGTCTTTTGCCGATACGGTCCGTAATGTCTGTGTTATTCCGCAAAGCCAGTTCCCTGTGCCTTGCATCAAAGGAGACAAGATCTCTATCACTATCTCTGAGGCAGAATATCAATTAGGTCTCCAAGATTGCAAACATAACCTTCATGGTCGTATTCTCTGGCCCAAAGGTTCCTCTCCTCTTACTGTCGCTTCGGTCCGCTCCAAGCTAGCTTCGCAATGGTCAAATATCAGTAAATGGGGTATCACTTCCATAGGAAAAGGGTTTTATGAGTTCTCCTTCTCTTGTTTGGAAGATGTGCAAAGGGTTCGATCTGTGAGCTCTTGGAATCTCAATCCAGGGCTTCTCAAGCTGTTTCCCTGGCCAAGTCTGGGTGCGTCTCCATGGTCTTTCTCAGAAGTATTGGAGACCGAAGATAATTTTCGCTATTGCCACTAGCCTTGGAACTCCTATCTGTATTGATTCCACTTCGAGCAAACCCGCAATTGATCGTTCATTTGGTCACTTCGTGCGTGCGTTGGTAGATATAAACTTAAGCAAAGAGCTTACCTACAAAATTCTGGTGGAACGAGTGGGGTTTGCTTTCTTTGCAGAAGTTGAATATGAAAAACTTCAGGATTTCTGTAATCATTGTAAGGTTATTGGGCATTCTATTTCATCTTGCAGGAGGAAGATTGCCATGGATGAGGCTAAATCGTATGTTGTAAAATCCCAACAACAGCAGCCTGTCGAGGAGACTATGCCTGAAGATATTCACAATGGTGCTGTTAATCAGAACAAAAGTGCTGCAATTACTAATGCCTTAAATGTTGCAGTGAAGATTGATAAAAGAGCAGTGGGTGGTACCCCTGGGTATATTTCAGATTCTACTGTTGGAAGTTACAATGCTGAAAATGCAGAAGATTCTCAAGGTCCCCCTCAGGTGATATAAACCCTCTCAGGCTAAAGATGTAACTGATAGTAGTGCTACAAATCATCAGTCTGGTCCTGTTTTGGAATTGATCCAACAAGTGCAAATTACACCCCTAGTTAGGGTGGCTAAAGCTCAAAGAACACAGGATTCTGAGTTCTTAGAAAAATCTTGGGCAAACCTGGCAGATGCTCAGGAGGACGAAGTTTTCAGTGAATCGGAGGTTGATCCTATTTATGTTCCTTCAGATTTCCACATTGCAACCTCAAAGTCTAAGAAAAAGAGAGACAAGACAAAATACAAAGCAAAGAGCAAAATCAATACCTCTAAGAAGGTGATTTTCAATCCTTTGCAATGAAGTGCATCTACTGGAACCTTAGGGGTTTAGCCAATATCCCCACTAGATTGGCTCTAAAAAACCACATTAAAACTCATAAACCTGACATTTGTTTTATTGCCGAACCTTGGATGAACTTTCTTGATCTTCCTTCTAACTACTTAAACTCTCTTGGCCTCAATCTGTTTTCCTCAAACCATCGACCGAATGCTTTACCTAACCTTTGGTGCCTGTGTAAAATTGACCTTAACACAACTGTGATTTCTGTTTCTGATCAATATGTTTCTTGCTCCATCGCTCTGGATAATTCGACTGTGATTGGTATTGCTGTTATGTATGCTTCTAATTGTCACATTGTGCGAAGAAATCTCTGGGCAGATCTTTCCGCCATTTTGGCTTCTATATCCCTGCCTTGGTGTGTTATAGGCGATTTCAACACCATTTCTGGTGCTCATGAGCATATGGTTTTGAATGCTCCTAATAGAACTCATATGGATGATTTTAAAACTTGGTCTGATTCTAATAACTTAGTTGATTTTCCATTCATAGGCCCAGTTTTCACTTGGAACAATGGTCGGAATGGTAGTGCTTTGGTGGAGCGAAGATTGGATAGGGCTTTTGGAAATTATCTTGGGCTATCTACGGCTATATCTATGTCAATTTCCTCCCTTTCCAGGTTTCATTTTGATCATCATCCGCTTCTGTTTGAGGCAAATTTTGGCGTTCATCATCATCTTTCTTCTTTCAAATTCTATAGTATGTGGTCCCTTCATGAGAACTGTCGATCTTTGATTGCTTCTGTTTGGTCTTCTAATATTGTTGGTTGCCCGATGTTCATTCTCTCCAAAAAGATGCAGATTTTAAAGTTAAGGCTCAAGGACTGGAATCACAACTGTTTTGGCAATATTCATAGTAATGTGAAATTGGCAACGGACAGACTGTTTGATCAACTGGATATTGATAAGAATGGGCACACTGCTATGCTGATAGAACAGGAAGTCAATGCTAAGCGTGATTTGGAGAAAGCATTAGACATGGAGGAAAGTTTTTGGCTTGAGAATTCTAGACTCAATTGGCATCTTGAGTTGGATAGAAATACTGTGTTTTATCAAAGAGTTACCAAAATTAAAAATTCCAAAAGCAGTATCTCAATTTTACGGAATGAGGATAATATCATCATTGATCCAGCTGACATTGCTCGTCATACAGTTGGTTATTTCACTAATCTTTTCTGTTTTGCACGTGAGACCCATAATTTGGATATCGTGGACGATTTTATTCGAGGTTTAGTCACCGAGGACATGAACAAGCTGTTAACCCCCATTCCATCTTCTGAGGAAATTAAAAGGGCTATTTTCAATCTCAACAAAACTAGTGCTCCGGGTCTTGACGGATATGGGGGTGTTTTTTATCACACCTATTGGGAAATCATAAAATTGGATGTGTGCAATGCTGTTGTCCAGTTTTTTCTATCCAGATGGAATCTTCCCAACTTCAACTCAAACTCCATCATTATTATTCCCATATTGAAAGAAGCAGATTCTATGAACAATTTCAGACCTATCGCCCTGGCCAATTTCAAATTTAAAATCATCACCAAAATTCTTGCGGACCGGCTAACCATTTTCATGCCTATTTTGTTTTCTCCGGAGCAAAGGGCTTTTATTCAAGGGAGATATATTAAGGATTGTGTTTGCATTGCCTCTGAAGCGATCAATCTTTTGCACAAGAAATCATTTGGTTGGAATATTGCTTTGAAGGTGGATATTGCGAAAGCGTTTGATACTCTTTCTTGGGATTTCCTTATTAAAGTTTTGAACAAATTTGGTTTCAACAACACTTTTTGCAATTGGATTTATAACATTATGGCTTCTGCTAAGCTCTCAGTCTCTATAAATGGTGCAAATCATGGTTTCTTTAATTGTACTAGAGGGGTTAGACAAGGGGATCCTCTCTCTCCTTTGCTCTTTTATCTGGCCCAAGACATCCTCAGTCGGGGTATTTCCAAGCTTGTGATTGATGGCTTCATTAGCCTTATGAAAGCTTTTTCCGCTCATCACATTCCTTCTCATATTATGTATGCAGACGACATCCTTCTTTTCTGCAAAGGTAAATTTAGCAATATCTTAGCTCTTAGGGATTTATTTCACAATTTTCGGCAGCTTTTGGGCAAGCTGTGAATGCTGATAAATCCTTCATTTTTGCTGGCACTATTCCTCAAGTTAAGTTGTCCCGGTTTCTCTCTTTGACTGGTTTTTCTCTTGGATCGCTCCCTTTCAATTATCTTGGGGTTCCTCTGTTCAAAGGTCGGTGTTGTATCCCAATTTCCCCCTCTAATATCCCTTCATCATACCATGTTGATTCCATCACAACAAGATCACATTAAGATTCTTGGTTCCCTTCCCTATATTTAGCTTTTCTCTTTGAGGAATCACCAAGCACCTTGACTTGTGTCCTTTTGTGATCATGAATATTTTTTTGTCTTGATTTCTTCTTTTAATTAATAAAATGCAATGTTGGTTTGTCTTGCTTGTTATCCATGTAGGTAAAGGAAATAAGATTCAACAAGTTGCTCCATGTGCATGAGTTTTTTTCTATGCCCTAGTTAATAAAGCTTGAGAAGTTCAAGCCTCACCATTGAATTTGTTTTGGAAGGAATGGCATGACAAGGTTATTTTGGTTCACCACATTTCAAGGTTATAAAATTTGGTTCAAAAGCACAAGGGATTGATTGGAGAAGTTGGCTTGCTTGGACAAGGCTTTGTTCCCATTGGTCACAAATGCATATTTCTCTCAACTCTCAAGATATGGAAGTGGTTGTGGTTGCTATGAGTTCTCATTATCATCTTCAACAACTTATATTTACAAAGCATTTGTGTTGGTACAAGAAGTTTGTTCAAAATTGTCAAAGTTCCTCAAGGCATGTTTCTTAACCTAGGAGCTAGGGTTTTGAACTTCAAAGGAGTATATCTTTCTCATCTTTTGGTATTTTTGAGTGATTCCAAAGAAATCCTTATCTTTAAATGGTTATAAACAAATCACTTCAAAAGTTCCAAGGATTTTTTATGTGGAAGAGACTTGATGAAGAAGAAAGATTACAAGTCCTCCAGATGCATCCCCAATTTTCCATGTGTGACTTAAAATGATCATAACTTGGTCAACTTTTATGACCTTGAGCCCATTCTTTTTCCACAATGATCTTGAGGATGTGAAATTTATGCCTTCTTTTATGTGCAAATTAAGAAAATGGATGGAAGTTGCCTTAAGGATACAAAAGATTATAGGTCATTTCATGATTTTTTGCCAACTTCAACAATTCATAACTCTCTCAATTTTTGGAGATTTTGAATGGTTCAAGTTTCAAAATGTCATTCAAGAGGTCTATTTCATTCCATTTATTTTGGTCAAGAGCAAATTCCAAGAGGAAGGCCATGTTTGGATGCAAAACATTATAGGTCACTTTTGAAGAAAAATTTGAAATATTTCTAAGTATGGAAAGCAACCCTTTTTCTCCAAATTTGACTCAATGCAATTTTCATCTCAAGCATCCATTTGATACCATTATTTTTCCATTGCAAAGCTTGTAACCTCATCTTTCTAAAGCATCAAGAATCATGCCCTAAGACCCCTTGAGCTGAGAATGCCATTGGTTAGAAGTTGGCAATTTGAAACTGAATTTTTCACCAAGTTAGAAGTTTGAAATCCTTGATTTGGCTTTTAAACACTTTATTTCTGCGCGTTTATGCCTCTAAACATGTTTAATGAAGTTCCAGAAGTGATTAGCATAGCAAAATGCGCGTTTTGGATGAGTTTTGATCAAATTGGAAGTCACACTTTTCTTGTTTGCAACTTCACACGATTTCCCTCCAAACTTCATCATTTCACACGCTTGGACATTCCATTTAATTCCCTATAAATAAAGGGTCATTCTCCATTCATTTCTTCAAGCTTGGATAGCCAAAATCACCCTGCCAAACTTGTTCCATAACTCAAAATTCAGCAACTTCGAAATCCATTCTCAAGCCTTTTTCAATCCAATTTTTCCATCAATTCATCTTCCTTGATCTTCCCTGAAGCTAACCATATAATTACATTCAAGAATCGTGCCTTATATTGCTCCATAGAAGTCCAGTTTCAGAGCTCTGCAACTCAACTTCAATAGGTAGATTCCTTCGTCAATTCTTCAAAACTTTGATATCATTGTGATGCTCTCATTGCCCTGGTTCTAGTCGCAATACTTGTCTTCTACTGGAAACACGTTTTAACCATGAAATTTCAAATCCCTTTTCAAAACTTTCCTTCCAAATTGCTTGAGCTACAATTTATATAAATTTGTCGCGAGGGTGTGGTTGTTTTCGTCTTGAAGAGACGAAACGAATGGCATAGGCCAGAGCTTCTGATTTTACAGTTTGAGAGACTTGCAATTCACGTTGGCTGGAGGTTGAAGATGACCAACGTGTCATCTTCCAACCAATGATGGCACGCCACTTGTATTTTTTGAAATCTAATTTAATTATTGATCCTATGCATTATTCACTAATGACCATGATATGCATAACACGCCAGATCCCTTGGATTTGATTACTAACGCATTTTGACTCTCATCCAATGGTCCACATATTTTTTACTTTTATTTTCTTTTCTGATTTTTATATTTAATTATTTTAAAATTCAAAAAATCATA